TTAAAAATTTGAAGATTATGGCCTGTCTTAGCTATGTTCCATCTGCACTTCAGCAGAATCTGTGTTCTGCTGTTGTTGAGGAAAATACTCTTCAAATGTTAGTCAAGTTGATTCACGGTCTTGCTTGGGTCTCCAACTACTCATTTTTCCAACTACTCTCTAAGTTAGAAGAGTACAGAAGTCTTTAACTATACATATGGGTTTATCTATTTTTTCTTTTGAATTCCATAGTTTATATCTCATGTAACTTGATTCTGTATTGGTATGTGTATACATCAGAGCAGTTTTTCTTTCTTCTTGATGAATTAACATCTAAAAAAAGAACGTTCTCTATCCCTGATGATTTTCTACTCCCTTTGCAACAAATACTATTATGAAAAAAATGAATACTTCAATGATAAAAGATCATTTATCCCTTTCTAAAACAAAATTTCTGTATCAACTAAAATTATACATAATCCTTTGAGGTTTGACATACTAAGAGTTGATCTATTATTAATTTCAAACAAGAATCATATGCCTAATATTTGTTTTTTTTTAAATAAGGCACATACTTATTCAGGAAAACAAACATTCATGGTTAGTTTCATTCAATCTGCAATTCTGGTCAAAAGTTCAGTTTTACATAACACAATTCTTGGAAGGATTCAAGAGGGTATTCTTGAATCATCTCACAGCAAATATACAAAAAAATTCATCAACTTTAGGTGGTCAGTTTTATGAGTATTGATAAATGTGTAATATCTATGTGGCTGGTACCATAATAATGATGCAGACCATTATCAACCCTCCCCCAAAGTCCACGTGTTCCTCTGCCATTGCCTTCTCTGACTTTCAGTGTCAAGCAAATACTAATCTGATTACTGATTCTGTAGTTTTCCTCTGACAGATGTCAAATAAATGGAATTATTTAGCATGTAACTTTTTGAGACTGGTTTCTTACATTTTGCAAATCTAAGTTGTATAACTCATTCCTTTTTTATTGCTGAATAATAGTTTGTTGAGTGAGTGCATGAGTTTATCCATTAACCTATTAAAGGACACTTGGGTTGTTTCTGGTTTCAAGTAATTCTGAACAAAGTCACCCTTAACAGGAATCCTTGATGCAATAGATAAAATCCTCAAACAACATCCTTTATATCATTATGAAAGAATATCCACAGAGCCAAGTCCAAGGCAGGCCAACAGGTTAAGATCAAAGTATATTTCAACAGATGTGATTCTCTGAGAGACTCACAGTGTTGAACTTTACTCAAGCCCTATGATTCAGCAAAGCTCTAGTGGTTAAAGAGATTCCACTATGACCTTTGTGTTCTGGAAATGGCCCACTGAGAGAACCCATCCTTCCCTGTGTGACTTGGAGAGGACTCCAGATGTCCTGTACCAAGGACAGGCTAAACAGGAACACTTTGCCTTATAAATGATGTATTGACCTGCTAGTCCTCAATGATAGAGGAGAAGAAATGTACTTAATAACCAGACTTTGGCCAATTTTATCTCCTTCTCCCTGGCTGAGTCAGTATACAACCTTCTCTAACAGCTCCTGCCAAGAATAGGTTCAACTTCAACTGGAGGTAAAACGTCCTCTGATACTGTTCACACTGCCACCCTAACCCTCATACATGGTTAACTGAGCTGCTCATCCTCGCTGATCCATCCAGAACAAAGTGTTTGTGAGCCAAATTGACCTAAGTTCAGTTCAGCTAAACTTTGACACACCCTCACCCTGAACCAGCAGTGACTTGCACAAATTCTTAATTTGAAGAGGCCTATCCATAAACGTGTGTATTCCTTTCTGTGTACGAAATGACCCTTTCTTCCTCCCCTTTCAGACGTTATACAGATGTCCTGTTCTGAGACATCTTATAGGAACGGTCTCCCTCTCCCTGTTATAATTGTTCCTTGATCCTTCTTTCAATAATCCTTTAAATGAAACTTCTCCTTTTCCAAATCTGGAGTTGGTTTTTCTTTAAAAATATTTTGGAAGCGCTTCGTTAGAATTAAATTTGGCTGTGTGACTAGCCTGGAAACATGAGTATTAATCCATTTGTTCATTCAATAAATCTTTTTTTTTTTCTACAAATCATTTTTTCTCTTTTCATTTTTTTAATTTAAAATTTTTCTAATTCATCTGGAATGGGAACTCACTGGAGTGGTTTTGTAAGTCCGCTCA